CAAATCCCAACACATCTCATTCAAGAAGTAAATACGAACGAACACAGTGTTCGTTCATCATGAACATACACCCATTTAATTCCAAATTCGAAATTAAACCCAAATAAAGCTAGATTTCGACTCTTACAGCCTCAAAACAACTCGTAACTATCAATTTCATCATACAATTTCACTGATTCATCTCTTGAATTCCAACTTTTTCACAATTTGACTTTTTAAAGTCAAAGAACATAAACACGAAATTGATGATTCAAATGGCCAATTTTGGATCAAAAAGTGATTTTATCACTGTTCTTCATCCCATTCATGTGTTCTTTGTACAAGTTCATCGAAATCAAGAATCAATTTTGATGATTTCTTCATTTGAACTAGCATGAACTCGATTTCATCATGATCCAAATCATAGGAAATCGAGACATATTATCTGATTACTAATCGATATCAGCCAAAAGAAAGATGGAAGAAATTATCAAGAAAACGAGATGAATAATCAGAAACAATCGATTTAAGATTATTGAACAGATGCGGAATAGATGCATATCTATGGTACAACCATTTTAAGTGTGTGACTAATTCAGGGATATTCTTGATAAACCATACGCTGGAATCGAATTTGGGCTCACACCATTGTAAAATCGGATTTAATGGAAAATCGATTGGGCTTTGAAAGCTCGCGGATGAACAGTAACCAAGTATTTTTGATTGGGCTCAAAAACAAATTATTGATGAACAATATCAGATTGATTGTTTGGGCTGAATCAAATACGATGAACAGTAACAAACTCTTAAATTCGAATCAAATACAATATGCTTTTTGAACTCAATTTTGATTCAAAACAACAAGTTCAAATTTAGAATTGAATCAAACAAACGGATTTTAGATTGGATCGGGCGGGATCTAAAAAAAAAAGTGATCAACAATGGAGTTTTTCAAGAAAAATTTGATCCAATGAGTCAAACGATCACAATTCAAAAACGCAACGCATGATTTAATGAGATTAAGAGAGATCATAGAGAGAGACTCACCAAAATTGCTCAAATTGCGACAAAAATTGCCAAACCGATAATCGTTCTTCAAAAATCACCTTGATCTTGAAGACCCGCTCTGATACCAATTGTAGTGACATAAGAACATGGTTTGGCATGCGGAATTAAAGTTTGCACAATGAACATGGTGATTTGGGTGTTCAAGAGATGTATTGATTGTATATGGTGTTACACAAAAAGGATCTAGATCTAGACTACATAAATAACACACACTTACACACTCACTTTTACATCTCTCAAGCACACCTCCACAAGTGGTATGAACCCACTATTTATAGAGGTGTTTACATGTCTCTCTCTCACTCTCACTAACACATGGGTCTAAAGGCTAATGCACCACATGCAAGTGGGTCTACAAGAGTCAAACCATTACAAAGTCATACATGAAGAACTTTGCACCCCAACAGTGACGTAAATAGTAAATTTACGATAGAGGACTTTTTAGCCTTAGTGATCTAAACAAAAGACGTTGTGTTCGTTAAACCAAGAGCGTGCGTAAAAAGAACGCCCAAATCTGACTTCGTATGAGGAAGTTATGATTTTTTCCAAGTTTCGGATTAACAATACACAGCCCGGAGTTCGAATAGTAGATCGAACGGTTTTCGACCGATACAACCTAAACGAGAATCTAAGATTACGTTAATAGTAGCGCAACGGTAAAAAGAAAGACAAAGACGGACGTTGGATGAAGAAGTTATGAATTTTTAACGGACTTTTCCAGTCTCGGCCTGTTAAAAATAAAACTTTAAAAATAACTTCAAAATTAGCCAACAGAGTCTAAATGAAAGATGTAGAGTACGGTCTCACCTACGCGTGGATATAAAGAACGTCGAAAACGAAGCTCGTATGCAAAAGTTATGAATTTTTGAAATCGGGATTCGGATTTGCGAGACTTGATGACGTGGCCGAATCAGGATCGTCGCTTGTTGCCCACGGCCTCGCTTCGGATGGTGACAGCTGGTGCGAGGACTACGCCCTGCATAATCCGAGAATGCCCAGCGTATGAGTACGTCCCGCGTCCGAGCCGATACGCCCAGCGAACTCCTTTCCTCGGTCCAGAAGCCTCCACGTCACCCCTACACATTTCGGACATGTGTTGTACGACTTCAGTGTACGCCCAACGTACTTCGGAACTACGCCCAGCGTAGTGCGAAGCCTCGCACCTATAAATAGGAGTGCGAGGGCAGCCGGTTTTCCACACCATTTCCCATTCTCTTTCTCTCTCTAACATCTCTCTAGCCACCCTAATCCACCCGAAGCCTAGGAAACCTCCCTAGCATTAGAAGAAAGCCCCGGAGCGCCCGAAGGCTCCGATAAAAAGAGTTTTTCAATTTGAAACTCTGCCCACGCGGAGCCCGGTTTTCAAGCAAACTTCCCGGTTTCGTCAAAGAAGATTGTTTTAAGAAGCGAAGTGTTGTCTGAATCACTCCTTATCAGGTGAGTGTATAGTCACTTTCATCTTACACATAGATGTAAACTGTAGATGTATTTTCTTCAGATCTAAACTGTACATGTATTTTGTTTTCAGATCTGAGCCTTTTCTTCAGATCTAAACTATAGATGTATTTGGTTTTCAGATCTGAGCCTTTTTCTTCAGATTTAAACTATGTATGTATTTTATATCTACAAATATGTTGGGTATAACATGGGTAGATGAAATAGTATATGTGTGATAAAATGATGACAGGCCTCGATGTTTACGATGATCTAGTCATCTAGCGGAGTATAGATGACGACCACGGACTATTCTAGGCAGTCTAGTGGAACGCTAGCAGGCTTGCAACCTGTAGGTGTTTTTGAACTAAGTGTTCACCAGATGTACTCCATCCCCCCATGGTTGCCTTATTTGACATGTATTGCTGAGGAATACCCTAAGCAATGTTGTCATCGCGAAGAAAAATCCTTAGGCTAGGTCCCTTAGAATGGATGTTTTAGGGACGTAAAGTGAGGATAACGGAAACGGGTAATCAGGTTAATGATTTGATGAAAATAAATAATGAAATTATTATTGTGGGTTGAAAACCCTATATGCTCACCAGGCTCCCCAGCCTGACCCACTCAGTTTCTTTTATTATAGGTAGTTGCAAAAGCATAGTTGGATGATCTGACGAGAGATTATGGATTTATAGGCCAGTATAAAATAAATAGAATGTTGTAAGGCCTATATTGTTTTGAGGCCAATTTTGTTTTTTGGCCTATGATGTTTTGTTTATGCTTTTGATATGTATTGACGATGACATCCCGAGTTTTGTAATGTAATGAAAATACATTTCTTTAAGAAATGCTTTGATAAATTTTTATCATATTTTGTTTTGTGAACAAATTCCACAACACTTTTCTTTGAAATATTACTCTGATTTTATTATAAAAGCATAAACGAAATCGATCTTTTCTGGCCGTAAAAATGGGGATGTCACATAAAGTTTGACAATTTGATTTGTGTTGACCACTTGGAACTACTATAGCACGTTAAAGTGGTCACATTTTTCAAAACTTGGGTTTCATTGGAATACTTAGTGACAAAAAAATCATCTGAAAAGAATTATTTCACAATGTACAATGAGACTAATAAATCAGAAATAAAAAATCTGAATCACCAAAATTATAAATCAGATTTCACATACCCATTGGATTGGATATTGAGCTGGTCGAACTCCTTAAGGGCACAACTGTTGAGAAAATTAGAATCTCTGAGTAGAATTTAGAAATTCAAAAAAACCAATTCAGAAACTAAAAAAACAAAATTGAAGATATTAGAAAACAATACTTAATCACAATTCCAGAATTCCATAACCTGAATTCAAAAGATCAAATGGATACTTGAATAGGAAATTTGAATGTAGTCTCTAACATATTTACTGAAAATATTTAGATAAATAACAAAAGGGTCAAATACAAGAAATAACAATGTACTTTCATTCATTTATTTATTAAAGCATCTCATCATTTGTTCCTAACACATGTTGATGAATACCTCGAGATTGAAGCTTTAATCTTCCCCTCAAGAATTCACAAAATAGATATCAAAATCCCCTCACTAATCAACATATAATAGTTTTCCCTCTATAATCTCCCCCAAATTCCATAAGGCTTCATAATACAAGTTCAATCCTAATCAACCAAAGGCACCACTTCTGTTAAATATGAATGGAAAAGAGATTAGCACCTCTTCAAAAATTAGCTATATTTAGTGACTAAAAATGTAGTTTACTCCAAAAAAAAGAATTACGAAGATAGAGATGGAAGTTGGAAGTAACTAACCGTTACTTGGCAGAGAAAGACGTTTCTTTCGTTGATTACTCAAAGTTGATCTCTCTTCCAAATTGTTGTGTGATACTTGATTTTGACTAGAGTGAGTCCATAACTGGAGGCTTAGACTTGACAGGAGATGAACCGAATCCACTAGATTGTGATTGTGATTAAGCCTATTTATCATTTGGAAAATCTGAATGAATACCTGAAGCAATTAATTTCTTGTTTTCCTCAATCTTGACTTCATTTTCTCTTGTATTTGTATTGATGTCAAGAGGGGGAGCTCTAGTTAGTGCTAACTATTAAAATCATACACAACCCTCTTCCACACGAGCTTTTACCCCTAAAAACATAAATTTTAATAGATAACTCAACAAAAATGCATTGTTATTTCAAGCATTTAACACTAATCTCGGTGATGTATTTTGTTTTTACCCATAATACAAAGATGTAAACACCCCACCCCCACAATAGAATAACAAATGTCAAATCTGGAATAACCCTTTTGCCCTCCATTTATACATTTGTTTATTAATTTCCATTTTTGCAAACTTAACAGTTGGGTTGTTAAACTTGACAGCCATGGACCAAATAGGACCATAGGGACCAAGAAATATTAAATATATTCATTTTTAACAAAGAAAGATGTTAAATATATTGATGTAAAATTGTCATTTTGACCTCAATTTATATTTATTTTACTAATGATCATTTCCAGCTTCTTTTATCAATCTCCTTGGATACACAAGATCTTCCTTGTTCCTCAAGTCTGCAGGACTTGATATATTTCCTTTCTGAATCATAATCATAATCATATGTATAAGATTTTTGGTGTGTAATTTGAATATTTGACTAACAATCAACCTTTATGAAATATTCTATGATCATTGCATTTCTCTGCGGATTTAATGTGTTGATAGGAGCAGTTTGCATTTCTTCACTTGTATCAATAAACGTGTATTAGAGAAAGAAGAGACCCAACAACCATCTACAAAAAAAAGATTAAAGATTTGAATACACAAATGAGAATAAGATTTTCAATGTGTTTGCAAGATATAAAAGATTGTACATTTCCTTGCATTGATGAACAAACTATAGAAACTAACTGAATCCCTGCACCCAATCCAAGAACATTAAACACAATAGAAATCGCCTCCCCTTTTGCATATAATTCACTAAGATTCCCCTCTTTTGCAAAAAAAGAATTAATTGCCAATCTTGTGGCCCTTGCATCAACCATGGCCATTCCCTGTTAAATTACAAAAAGGTTATAAATGTAAACTCTTACAAGGAAAATGATTAAACACCAATTTAGTATTTAGTATTTACCTTTGCAAAATTTTCAAGTCCAGCCATTTCAAGAAACAGTTATGGACATAATGGGGAAAGAACTTCCAAACCAGAGAGAAAGTCGTATAACATATCAGCTACAAATCAAAAGGTCCATCAATACATCTTAAACTGAATTTTAACGATAATGGGTTCAAAATCCATTTTTTCACCTAACTTGCTGCACATTAGTTTTCCCACATGTTGCATTCCATCCTTACGTATCTGTTCAACACCAATAGAATCACTTAATATTTTTTCCAAAAGCAGTTATGGTTCATATGCGTTAAATTGCTGCATATTGGCATTTATTAAAAGGTGTTTCTTACCCAACTAGTTGTGGTTGCTTGTGGTGGTGTAGGTCTTAATCCTGCAGCATGTAACAGTGACTGCAAAGGTGTAAGATCAATCAATGAACCCTAATTTGAACTTGTGATTCTAATTTCTAAGTGCCAAAAGAATACCTGAGTTGATAAGACAAATAATGTTGCACTGGAGAAGTGTTGTAATGCTCGAAATTGTGTGTATCTAAGATACCCTTCATTCACATTGCAGTAGGTTTTAGTTCCATGAGAAATGACACTTTGATTAACAGTTTGTTGAGAGAAAGAGAACTCGATATGAAATTGTGTCTTATGAACTCGCCTATATGGATAACCTGAAGGGAGACATGTATTGACAAGGGACTCGGATATTTTGTAGATAACTGGTCTTGAATCATTCAACACCTTCACCTAAAGAAGAAAGACCCAACTGATTCAGTTATGGAATTCAAGAAACACCCAATTGTGCTAGATGGTAGGAGGAACTTTTTCATGATTTAGTTAACCGTAGCCCATGATTCATGCTCTTCTTCACCATTTAAGACATGCTTCATCAATGCTTTCGGCACAAAAAAATGCCAATCGCAAAATCAGAAGTGATTTCATTCTAGGCAAATGCATGAACAATTTTAAAGAAGAAAGCAATGTCAGGAGAAAGAAAAAGTGGACAGAGTTGAAGACTAACCAGACATGTACTTTTTCGGTGGGATCATAGGCAGTTTCTTGTTCATCGGAAGCGAGTAAGGGTTGATGTTAGTCAGAAAGCATATTCTTTAATCTTCAATTTGATCCTCTTTGTCGTCTGGTAGTGGTCTCCTGAGTATAAGTTATGCGTGGAATACAATGAAATTGAACTCTTATAGAGTAGGCAAAACCCACAATAAGGATTTGGGGAAGAAGGCAACGTCAATAGAAACCTGCAACAATAAATGAAATCAAATTAGGAGTAGGAGAAGTCGAAGGGAAAGAAAAAAGATATGCTCGGGATCCATAGGGTCACCCTTATACTTCTTATCAAATAAACCTCCACACACAATTGATTCGTGACTTATGCGGTTAATCACCGGTTGTCGAGGTTGAAGACGTACTAAGGGAAGAGAAACTACCGGATCCAACGCGAGAAGAACCACCCTAGAGTAACTAGAGTAACTGTAAATAATGGAGTTTAAGTAGCTGAGATCTAAAGTCATGGGAGTTTGAACGGCTAAGATATGTTGGGTGGTTACAGACTCACCGTCAACAATATTATAAACAATGATTTTCAAATTAAGAAAAAAAATAGGCATTCAAATTTAGCGAGGAGTAGCGATAAAAATATTAATTAAACAAACTATTATACTTTTTGAGAAGGATTAACAACAAACTTTGGAACATATTTTTAATGAGAAAATTATTTATATAGCTAAAAAGGATAATGAATTTTCACTTAATAGCTAAATATTAGCCATTAGCCAAAATAGTCAAACAGTAAACGAGTTAAAGAAACCTATGGTTTGTACGTATACCTACGGTTTGGACGTATACCTACGGTTTTGAGAGTATTATATGGGAGTAGGGTAAGGTTTAGAGCATTTGGGCTACGGTTTTTTAGCCTATCATAGATATAGGGGCATGTTACCCTATAATATATAAAGTTAAAAAATCCATTTATGTCATTTTCGGGTTATAGAAGCTAGGGGAACTTTCTCAAATGACAGCCCTGAACAACAATCAGATTTTCCTTTTAAGCCTTATTTTTTATTTGATTTCTATCGTTTACCTTGAAATCTAATAGTAGTGGACATAAGTTTTTTGCAAAAAAACAGAAAAAAAATAATAATAATAAAATCGTAGGTGCGGTATTCCACCTACGGTGTACAAGCTGCTGATCCACATAAATGTGCATTAGCAGTTTGTACACTGTACGTGGCATACCGCACCTACGGTTTTCGTAATTTTCGTTTTTTGTCTAACATGTGTAGTGATATCTTTTTTATTTTGTGGTATGTTATTTGGGATGATCATGTACTTTAAACTAAATAGCATTTGAATAACAAGAAGAAAATAGTAGTTAGAAGGACGAAATAGTAGATGGGGTTTGCCATCTACGTTGTACAAGCTTTAATCGATGCACATTTTTTGCATCACCAACTTGTACACCGCAGTAGGCATATCCCTCAACTATGGTTTTCTTCGTCTCTCGTTGTTGTTCTTCAAAATACTAAACTGTAGTTGAATTGAGAGCATACCGTAGGTGGTTCTCTCACCTACGGTTTTGTCCGAAAAATTAAAATATATATATATATATATATATATATATATATATATATATATATATATATATATATATATATATATATATATAAATATATATATATATATATATATATATATATATATATATATATATATATATATATATAGGGGATGGTTCAATTGAGAAAAAAAAAAGGTTGAGAATGGGGGAATCATTCTCAGTCACTCATTTATTTTTGTCGTAAAAGCCTTCGTCGTACCAGCGAAAATGGGAAATGAATAGACATGTGCTTTCCAACAAAACATTTATCCTTAAACTATGTTAATTATTACCTTAATATATACAAAAACATAGTTTTTTCGTTTTTTTTATTTTTTAAGAAGCTATTTTTATCGAAAAATGATTTTTAAATATACCAAAATTCATGTTTTTTTATTCTCTACAAATAGACATCCATATTTATATAGTTTTAAGATAAAATAAAAAATTTATTTTTTTTATATTTTCAGCTATCGTTATTCATCAGTGAATAAAAATGCATCAGGTTTTATTACAGTACATTCGTTATTCACTTATGAATAAAAAGTATGATTATTTTTTTTTTACAATTTAAGTATCATTCATATATTAATATAGCATATAATAAACATAGTATATTCATATTTAAATATTGGACGATGCATTCACTTGTGAATATTAGATGGTATATTCACTTATGAATATTAAATGATATTTTCATATGTAAATATTACATGGTATATCACATGTGAATATTACATAATATATTCACTTGTGAATATTAGATTATATATTCACTTAGGAATATTACACAGTATATTCACAAATGAATATTACACGGTATATTCACTTGTGAATATATTCACTTATGAATATTAGAAGGTATTTTCACAAATATATATAATTTTTATATGTTATTCACATATGAATGACATAGAGACTTGCATATTTGTTTTGTGTTTTTAATAATCATATACTGATTCAGGTGAGAAAACATATTCATATGTGAATATAACGTGGTAATTTAGTTTATGCATTTCATCAAACAGTTGGAGTGCATACAAGTTAACTATTTTTAAAAATGTTAAAAACATCAAGTTATCAATTCCAAATCATCATATACTTCCGATTTCGACTTCAGATGCGACATCCTATGTCTGGTCGATTTCTCATTTTGATTTTGATTTCCGAAAATCCGATTGAGAACCTGTGAGTACCGATTCTGAGTCCTTCAATGTCGACTGTGACTGCGAGTCTAGAACTCCGATTCCAATTTCATGAACATCGAAGAAGAAATTCCGATTCCAACTGATTTCGTTTGCGAATCTGGGAAATTCCAGTTCCAAATCCGTTATGAACTTTAACAAATCGATGAAATTGATGAATTTGGGTTGCGAATCTATCTTGAGCGGTGAACCTCCCAGCCACGAATATCGATGATTGATTAACACTGGATGACATTGATGATGGTTTAGTTGAAGAAATCTGGATGATTGTGAAGGTTGGAGGGAGAAATTTTGATGATGAACGAACTGTTATCGAATTCTCTATAGTTACGTATTTGAGATTGAAGGTTATTAACATATTTACAAGTTTGCCACCGTGTCTTTTTATGCTTAGATTAAATGAGTGGCTGAGAATGATTCCCCCATTCTCAACCTTTTTTATTTTCTCAATTGAACCCACCTATATATATAATATATTATATATATATATATATATATTATATATATATATATTAATATATATATATATATATATATTGTTGTAAATAATTGGTGGTGTTGTAAATAATTGGTGGATGACATAATAATTGGTGGATGACATAATAATTGGTGCATGGTACATTTGTCAACATTTCTAACTAGTTACAATTATATGTTAGTAAAATTTGTAGTATAATACCCCTCCATTGTAAAGAATGTGATACACCAAAAAGTTATAAGAGATATAACTTTCATATTCTCTCTAAATATTCTTTCTTCTCAATTAAAGTTCTTATCAAAGTTTACTAGTTTGGTTTGATTTATAGTTACATTAATTACGCTTAATCATAACACTTATCAGCACGAAAGCTCTAATCAAGGTTATTAAACAAGTGGAAAATCACATCTATCTTAATCAAGGTATGTATTACTTATTAAAAAACACTATAATTATAACAACCTCAATCATATTAAAATAATAATAATACTAATGAATTAATGAAACTTATACATTATGGACATTATGGACTACTAACAATTTTTATTTCTTATACAAACATTTCTTTATGTATTCTAATTTTTATACTAACATTTACATTATGAAACTAATTTTTATTTATGCAAACTAACATTTACATTATGCAACTAACTTTTATTTATGCATACTAACATTTATATTATGCTACTAACTTTTATTTGTGTATACTAACATTTAATAATTGCTTGGCACAAGAAAGAAAGATTTGATCATCAAAAGGAAGTTATACTTCCAAATGCTAGAGATGAATGGAGAACACTAAGGTTTCAAGACTTCAAGAAAGTAAATGAATACAACTCAGCTTTGTTCAGAATATGTTCACAACTCAAGTATTGTGGACAAGAGGTTACTGATGAAGATATGTTGGAGAAAACTTACTCAACATTTCATGCAACAAACATTACTTTGATGCAACAATATCGGATGCAAAAGTTCACAAGATATTCTGAACTGAATGCATGTCTGCTCGTTGCAGAGCAAAACAATGAACTCTTAATGAAAAACCATGAATCTCGTCCAACGGGATCAGTAGCACTTCCTGAAGCAAATGCTACAAATATTGATGGTCATCGAAACAATACACGTGGACGAGGGCGAGGTCGTGGTCGAGGGCGAGGCCGTGGCTATTTTAATCGAAACCAAAGCCATAATCAGAACCATAATTCTGGTCGTGGACAAGGTAATAATCGTTGTCGTGGCCAGAAAAGAAATAATTACTAATATTCACAAAGAAACAATGTCTACACACAAGATAAGGCTAAAGTGGCAAGGCATGACACTGGGACATCACACAAATTTGATGGTTCATGTTATAGATGTGGTAGCACAGGCCATTGGTCAAGGACCTGTCGCACACCTGCACATCTGTGTCAACTTTATCAAGAGTCCATTAAAGGAAAAGGAAAAGAAGCAAACCTTATTGATAATGTTGAATTCACTCCGCTAAATGTTGCTGATTTCTGCAATGACATGGAAGACATAAAACTAAAAAAAAATCTATTATTGTTCTAGTAAAACTGTTTTTTCCTTCGTTTGTTTTTCATGAATGTGTCTTCC